CAACAACCAAACTACTGGAGCTTCAAGGTCAGTGCCAAGACTTTTTGTTTTTCCCGTTTGTGGATCTGCGTGTGTCTAAATAGATATTCTCTGTTTTTGTGTATTATGTCTTTGCTTATGCTTCTCTGTTTAAGTTCTGCTCACATGTCTGCCCACGTTTTTTCAAGTTCTTTATCAGCGCTTTGGTAATATCCGCGTTTTTAATTGTGAGGCTGACTCCAAGCAGGGTTTTTTCTTGGCAGTGATGAGTTGAGCTTAATCTGCCTCCACCCTTGGGACTCTCACTCATGGATATTATGTGATTAGATCTAGAGGGTGAAGTGTGTGATGGGGGTATCGGTGCCACTGACTCACGATACACGGCTGAGAAATTCTGTAGTCAAGGCTAATTCAATAGTGGGAATTACAAGAGTTTCAAATGGCTAAAGTGCATGTGTGAATTAGCACAATTAGAAGTCCTGGCTACTTTGAATGCTAATGTGTCTGGAAGCAAATGCCAAAATTTACACCGGTTGCAGTTAGGTACTGAGACTTTGCAGACTTGTCATCCAGAAGTTTTGCCATGAACAAAATATATTAACTTTAAAGGCCTTTAAGTGTTTACCCACATTTTTCAATTATTTTCAATGGCTTTGTTACTTCTGCTGGTTTGGTTGAAAGAATGTGCAGTTTCTCTTACTTGGCTTGGACTGCCTTTTTTCAGCCCCAGATTAACAGGTGGGTATTTTGCAGAGTTCTTGCACATATGTGTCACCATGGAAACACACCTGTAGGTTGTGGTTATAGCCCGATGCAGCGGTAGCAACCCCCTTATTATGTATATGTGTGCTCAGTAGTTGTTAACCCCACACTGAACCATTGAAGATCTCTGGGAGCAATTGAAATTCAGCATAATTTTACCTTTCCAGCTTTTCATAGTTTGGTCTCATGGATCGAATAGACATTTTGCCCTGGATTTAGCTTCATAACATTTTAGTCCTGATGAATGATCTTAATCCGTCACCAAATTTCATCCACATCCATAAATCCGACTCCTGGAAATGGAAGTAAACCTTATTTGTTTTATAATGCTTGAAAATATCTATGATTGTATGTCTTTGTAAAGCTCTTTGGGTTGCACTTGCACTGAATTGTGTTTTTTTTTTAAACTAGATTTTTTAAAGCTTACATTGGCATGTGTAAGTTGGAAAGATTGATCTGGATTTCACTAGGATAATACAGTTTGTGCCCACATCTGTGTACACTATCTGAGTAGTAGCAGTAGTAGTAGTACTAAAGGTGCATTTTATTTTTTCACCTTCTTCATTTGACCCATCCTGATGCCACTAAGGCTTCCATCAGGAGCAGCGGTTGCTGTAGTAACAGCGCCCGGGGATCCATCTCCAGATGCTGATGCTCGGCTTGGTCAGGACTGCCGCAGATGGAGGATTTATCTATTGGGCATGATTTTAGTGGTTGGTGAAACCGGAGTGCCTGGAGGAAACCGTAGCGGAACATGGAAACTCCACTCAGAAAGACCCTGGACCTTCTTATTGAGAAGCAAAAGTACAGTAGTAGTAGTAGTAGTAGTAGTAGTAGTAGTAGTAGGTAAGATAGATAGATAGAAACCACATCCATATAAACATATACATTTTAAACATTATTGTCATTTCTAGCTAACTACCTAACCATAGTGCATATTTTTAACTCATACAGGTCTGTTGTACAGTCTGACAGCCGAAGGATCAAAGGATCTCTTAATACGTTCCGTTCTGCAACGCAGTGAAATAAGCCTGTAGTAGTAGTAGTAGTAGTGGTAGTGGTAGTGGTGGTAGTAGTAGTAGTAATAATATATTGCTCAAATTGACTTCACTCACGTCATAATCCCGAGCGAGCTGTGAACCCGTGATGTTTATGGAGCAGTCCGTGAGCTCCTGTCTCTGATGAACCCTTTGGGAGACTGTAGTTAAATGTTTGCTAACCTAAGCACTTACAGCATCTTAACCAGAAAATGACTTGATATTCTACAATGAACCTCTCGGAAGCTGCTGACAAAGTGAATAAAAATCTAGTATTTTTCTTGTTCTTCTGCTTTCGACATAATTTAAATATGCAGCCATCCAGTCAACGGGGATACGCAGGAGTCAGTGTTACAGACTCTATCAGTTCTAGACAATTGGTGCCTGTCGTGTTCAGACAAAGGCTGAAGGACATAAGAAACTCCTCACTTACTCCTCCAGCTATTTAGTCATTTAGTTCACTTTCCTGAGGTGGATATTAGCTGGTGTTAGCTACGGCTGTGATTTAAAAAGTGCAATAGGAGGAAGTCTGTAATTACTTTCACAGCCTATTACATTTTACCATGAGCATATATTTTATTCATACATTTAATATGGACGTAATATTGGACAAACTCAATGCATTGTTGTAAGTGTTAGAGCACATTTGTTAGTTTTCAGCACTAGTCCACAGGGGGCTTTTACATTACAGAAGATAAAATACATTTCATACAATCAAAATGAAATGTACGCATGAGAACAACTCTGTCTCGATCATGGTTTAGGCAAAAATAAATGAATACACTTAAGCCTACACCATTTCAGTCAAAACAATGTTTCACAATTACAAATTATTTTGATTTTGTTGACTGAAATAAAATTACTACTAATAATCTTAACCACTGTTTTACCCCAAAGACCCCCTTTTTTAACATGGCCTTCACAGACTCAAAACAAACACACAGACAAAGACCGAGTCCAAAAAAAAAATATATATATACATTGTTTTGGTCTATGAAGTGAAACAGTGGCTGTCAACAAGATCTTTTGTCTGAGCTCTTCCAATTCTGCCACAAATGCCATACTTTAAAATAAGGTATAATTTCACATTCTAATTAAATGTATCTTAACAATGTTATTTTTCATGGTTTTGCATTGTATTAATTTTGCTCAAGTTTCTGCCTCCTCCACTCAATCCCTTTTAAAAAAAACACTGTGCAGCTCAGCCCTAAATGTCTCCATCCTTCTCTCTATAGTCTCACCAATCGCCTGCAGCTGCCCGTGCTCTATCTATGTGGGTTTAATATTCTTCCAAAACTCCTCGGTGTCACATCTCTATGCATTGCTAAAAACCCCATGATGTAGAAGTGTGTAGCATTAGCTTGGTCACAGCCTCACCTCTATACAGTGACCGTATAGAAACCCCCATATGAAGTAAATAGACTTCTGTGTTGTTCTTGCAAATCCTCCAACAAAACAGATTGAAAGGATTTTGCTGCCCGTCCATCGGGAGCGACTGGGATTTACTCAGCCTCATTCTGCTGCTGCTGCTGTTAACATAATGGAAAATAGTGCGGTGTAATTTTGTCCTCTTCTCAGCTCTGAGCGTCACTTAAACCAATATTAATGCTTAATTTAGCCTATTCTGTCGAAGCGGTCAGAGTAATCACTGCCCCATTGTTTCCCTTGGTCCTTCACTATTGAATTTGGAACAGCGTAGTTGCATTGAGGGATGCGACTGAGGTTTTAGTCCAATTATCGACGGCCATTTTGTTTCACAGTAATGTTATGACGAGAATAGTATGTGGAGCTTATGCAGAAGTGCGTGGTCATGTATTGTGTGGCGAGGCCGATCGTTGTACATTCTGACACACTTTCTGTCTACCCAAAAGTCTGGGATCGGGTAAACTTCTCACGGCCGTCATTTTTAGCTCCTGTTTTTTGTGTATTATCTTTTCTCCTGTGGGTTGAGGTTTGCATCCTGTTGTGTTGATTGTCTACCCCGCCCTCAAGTGTCTCCCAGTTAAATCTCTTCTCTACTGCTCTCGTTTGTCAAGTCCATTGTGTTTTTTTCTTCGTCTCTTGCCTTTGGATTTTGGACTTTGTTTGGGATTATATCATTTTTGCAGTGGTGTATTTTGGGTCCTTCCTCTCTTTTTTGGATCGTGACAGGACCACAGAGAGAACAGACAAAGATCCATGATGGTGTCCGCTGCATGTAGAGATTTGTTGTTTTTATCACAGATTTTATGATAGCATTTCTACTTTCTGTCCGCATTTCTTTTCAGTGTCAACAAAAATGAAAAACAAATGTGTTTTGCGTTTTGGCTGCTGGTTTTCTGTGATATTATTTAGCTGTCCAATCAAATATGACTCACTCACTATGGGGCTCACAGCCACATCTTCTTACTTTTGGAAATTATAGACAATTTTGTGGTTTTGCTGCCCAAAGGAAGTCAACAGATATAAAAATAAAAAATAAAGTCCTTTTAGATAATAATGAGATTGATTGATTGATACTGTAAAGAAACAAAAATATACATATCTCCACTGTAAGATTCTGTTGACTATGAGTTTTAACAATTTGATTCAGACAATTTCTAAATGAAAGCTCAGAGAATTTCGAACGACGGAGTTGGTTGATTCATTGATTCGTGACCATTCTGAGGCAGCTCTAGACTTAATATGTTATGACAGTAGAAATACAGAGTGTTGTTGTATGCTTTTGTGTTTGTCTGTCGAAACTTTGTGTGTTGAACACTCAGAGTTCAGCAGAGTGACTTCCTGTATGGGTGTCCCTGGACTCGCCTTAGTCCTCCAGAGCAGCTTCAGTCTCACCGTTCAGACTACGGCCTTTGTTGCTCTTGTGCTGTTTGGATGTTGATACGATCCTCAGTAGACAAAATATTCTCCCAAATCTGCACCGAAGAAAAGCAAAGTGTTTTCAGGGGTAAAAGGCTTAGGCTATGTCCCGCCTGACGACTGGCAGCAGACACCGGCACGTGGCCAGAATCACTTATTGACTCTTCACTGCCATATGCCAAGAAGAGGAGGTGTTCTGGGCCTCACTTTTGTCATCTATGAAAAGACAACTTGAACTTAGAAATGAGGGATTTGGGTTAAAACTGGACTCTATCCAGTCTGATCCAGTCTCTATCCAGTCTGATCCAGTCTTGTCTAGTCTGATCCAGTCTCTGCCCAGTCTGATCCAGTCTCTATCCAATCTGATCCAGTCTGATCCAGTCTCTATCCAGTCTGATCCAGTCTTGT